GTTTATTAATGTCATTTAGAAATAAATTGATTTTTGTGAGTTGACTTTGCATTTGTTCCCTAGCTAAATGCAATTATTTCTAGTAGTTTGATTCTTTTAAATTTTCCATATACAATCATTTTCTTAGCAAATAAGAACAGTTTTACTTTTTTCCTTGAGAATATTTAAGACTTTATTTTTCTCATCTTAACTGCACTGTTCTACCTCTAGCATAATGTTGCATAGAAATAGTGAGAGTGAACATCCTTCCAAAGCATTTGATAGTTTATCATTAAAGATGTGAACTCTGGATTTTTACTGCTCTTTTATCAGATTGAGGAAATTCATGCCTATTCCTAGTTTGCTGCGAGTTTTTTTTTTAATCATGAATGGCTGTTGAGTTTTATTAGATGCATTTCCTACATCTGTGGAAAGGGTTGTGTAGTATTTCTATTTCCTGTTGTTAATGTGGTGAATTACAGTAATCGATTTTCAAATGTCAATCAATCTTACGTTCCTGGGGTGAACCCCACTTAATCATGATGTATTTTAAATTTTTATATATCTCTGGATTCAGTCTGTCAATATTTCCTTTAGGATTTTGGTCTCTGTGTTCATGAGGGATATTGGTGTATAGTTTTCTTTTCTTCTAATGTTCTTGTCAAGGTTTAGTGTCAGGGTTGCAAAACCAGTTAAGAAGTTTAGCCTTTTAATGTCCTTGGGTTCTGTGTTGATTGATGTCCCCTTTTTCATACTTAGTATTGGTAATTTGAGTTTTCTTTTTTTCTTGATGAACTTGATGAACTTTGCCTAGTGGTATATCGATTTTATAAGTTTTCAAAGAGCCAACTTTTGGCTTTATTTTCTTTTATGTTAGTCTCTGTTTTCTATGTCATTGATTTTAGTTTTTTTATTTCCTTCATCCTACTCTCTTTGTATTTAATTTGCTATTCTTTTTCTACCTTTTTGTGGCAGAGACTTGGATTATTTATTTTAAGCATTTCTTGATTTTTAATATGCAATTAAAACTATAAATTTTCCTCTAAGTATGGAAATTCTCCTCTAAGTACGTAGCTTTTGCTACATCCCACAGATTTTGTGTTTTCAGTCTCATTCAGTTTCCTTCTTTTGAGGTGTAAAGACCTGAAAATATATCCTAATTTCATAGCAAAAAAGGGGAAAGGTAATTTAATTTTGGTTGAAGACTGTTGTAAATATTTTATTCCAAATCATTTTATAATCAAATTCTACTTCTCTCAGCACATATAATTTTACCTTTATTGCCAGTTATTTTCATGCACTAAATATATGTGTGTATCATTCGTAGAAAGCATGTTTAAAGTATACTGTACATGAAAGACATAATTATTTAATGGTTCTTTTATAATCCTATTAATTTGGGTTATAGGGAGGGATAATTGGCAAGGTAAAAAGTAGTATTTTTGTTGATGCAGTATACTCAGTTAACTCCTATTTTAAATGAATATTTGTAGCTTTTATGGCTTATAGAAAGAAAGTGGTCATGACTTTCCAGCAGTGAAGATTCTTGTTGGTATGGCTAGTGTGTGATAGGTTCTTAGCCTTTCCGTTACATCCTTTGTTCAGCTGAACTTTAGTTAATAGATTTTAGACATACAGATTATAGATTTTTGTAGTTGTTCTACTAACTGTAATATTTTATTTATTATAGTTAGAACATTATTATAGTTTGTAATGTAGAATAATTGTTAAAATGTAATGATAGTATGAATATACTTACAATATTAAAGTTAACATAAAAAGTTTGTCATTTTTGGGTCCCTCTCTTTCTGACATTGGTTATATAGTGATTTCCTTTGGCACTGAATTCAGTATTTCTATTTAGACCCTAAGTATTTATGATCTATTTTTTTTTCAAGATAAAAATCTATTAGAAAGACTTCGTTTATTGTATATATGGAACTGTAAAATTTGTGTTGTGTTAGTGCACTTTAAAGTGAAATAATTTTGAAAGTGTTGGCATATCTGAAATAAATATAAAATTTGGAATTGTCATTTTTTATCAAAACCTAGTTAGTGTGCATGTTATTTCTCTGCCTCATCTTATTCCTTTTTAAACATAGAATTATTTACTTAAAGTCCAGTCTTAGAAAGTTGAACCAGTTATTTACAATTAATATTATTTTTAGTGGATCTTGATGAGGTTCATTTTGTTAAGTAAAATAGTTTCATTTTGAAGATCGCCAAGAATGTTGACGTTTGTTTTTCATTGGTCCTTATTTCTGATAGCAAAGGTATTGAGAAAGTTAAATTAATATTCACAAAGTTACTCAGTGAACATGAATATCTTTCAGAACATCTTTTTAAATTGAATTTGAGTCCGTAGAATAATTCCTCTTTCCTATACCAGATATGATCTTTCTCCCTCTTTTTGGTCTTATAAACTTCCAATTCTTATTGCTAACATCCAGCTAGCTGTAATTCACAGACATGTAGCCCCCCTGTTTCTCACCCCAACCTCCATTCTATGCAGGCCATCACGTTTCAGATTTTCTTTTTTTATATTACTTTCATTGTTATGTGTCATATTTTTCAAGATAATATTTAATGACATCTTATATTGAATATTTATTACTTGTATATATTAAGGCACATGTTAAAGATTGTAGGCATTGTCTCTTCATCCAAAAAAAAATCCTTCACTCCATCTTGAAAGGAAAACAACTTGTCTACATTATTATTTTCTTTTTTTCCTTCTCTAATAAAGTTCTAAAGAATCATCTTCCTTTGATGTCCATACTTTACAAAACTCTATATGCAGTGTGACTCCCACCCAACTTTACTTAAAACTGCTACCTTCAAAGATCACACCTGTCTTTATAACACAGTTGTCATTTTTTTAAATCATTATCTTAACGTCTTACATTGTTACTTGATTGCTCTTTTTTTCCTGTATTACATTAGTTTTCTTTGGCGCTCTGTCACAATAATATTTCGGCCTCCCTCTTACTTTTCTTACCACTGTTTGTTTTCTCAACCTCCTTGAATGCTCCATTTCTTCCTGGTAAGTTTCCCAAAGAACTGTCCTCCTCATTTCTCTTTGGAGTTTTTACCAGTGATATCACAAGGAACCTTAAACTATCACCTCTGTGGAGTTGACTTCAATTTATATTCTTGGAAATGTGACTTATTTCCTTTCTCTACTCCATTTGCAACCTCCTACCATACATTTACTTCTGAACAGCCTGTCAGCATATGAAACTTCCCATATCTAAAATGTATTTCCCTTGCTTGTGCCAGTTTCTGGTCTTTATTGTCCATGTATTTAGTTAAAGATTCTAAAACCTTCTGGCTCCTCCTTTCCATTCTCTTTCTCTACTTTGCTTCCCGTCTACTTCCTACTGCTACAGTTACCTCCACTGTCATCCTCCCCGAATTTTTTGAAGAACTTCTCATCTTCTCATTTCCAACCATCTTAACCGTATTTGCTAAGATATGTCTTCCTAAAACACGAGAAAAGTTATAATCTTTCTTGAATCCCTGTATCCAGTTGTTTTTTGTTCATCACCTATTAAATAAAATGTCTCCTTTAGCCTAGCATTCAAGGCTAAGTATTCTGGCTAGCCTCAAATCACTTTTGTCGCTTTTATTCCCCTTGTTTCCAACATGTTTCCAACATGTTTCAGCCAACCTTAACTACTCCCTATTTCTTTTTTTTTTTTTTAATTTTTTGTTTATTGCAGTAACATTGGTTTATAACATTGTAAAAATTTCAGGTGTACATCATTGTACTTCTATTT